GAGAGGTGGGGGACTCAGGCCAGGGTGAGAGACGGGGGACTCAGGCCGGGTGAGAGGCGGGGGCTGAGGCGAGGGTGAGAGACGGGGGGTTCAGGCCAGGGTGAGGCGGGGGCTGAGGCGAGGGTGAGAGACGGGGGGGCTCAGGCGTTGTGCAGGTGTCCTGGGACCTGGCCTGCAGGCACTTGCCCTCGGGCTGCCAAGGGCTTGGGCTGTCCTGAGGCTTGGCTCGGCTGGGCGCCTGCCCTCTGCTACCCGCTCCTCAGAAGCAGGATAGCCCCACCCCCTTGTAGAATATGGACATGGTCAGCTGCTCTCAGCAGAGGCTGTCCCCCCTGGCTGGGCAGGAGGCGAGCGGCCACCTGGTGCTCCGGGCTGCCCCATCAGGTGGCTGCCCTCCAGCTGGCTGGGCGCGGGGCGAGGCTGGCAGTCAGGTGTGGCGCCCCCGCACCGGGCCCCGGCAGGGTGCTGGCGGTGGGTGAGGACAGGACAGACCCCCTGGTTCCCGATGTCAGCCCAGCGGGCTGCAGGAGAAGCCGAGGAGGCCAGGCTCGCTCCCGGCCGGCTGTGTGGCGCCGCCTCCTGGCCCGGGCTGCAGGGCGCGTCCGGGTGGCCCCTGCGGAGTGGGTCTCCTCCCTCCGAGAGGGATGATGGGGTGAGGCGGCAGAGGCTTTGCAGGCGGCCGGGGCTGGAGCCTCTCGCCGCTGGGTGCTGCGCGTTGCCGGGGAGCGTCACCGACACCCTAACAGCTGCAGGACCCGTCGGGTGAAGCGGCGGCCGCACGCGGGCGTCTGGCCCAGAGCTGGCGGCCCGCGGAGCTCTGCTGTTGTTTTCATTCTGGAAGAGGAAAACGCAGTTTGTTTTTCTCTCTCCTTCAAGCAGGAACCATCAGCCTGATGACACACGCAGACTAGTTCTGGGCAGTGGGGGTTCCGTGGCGATAGCACCCCCAGAGCCCAGGGCCACAGGCATCCTCAGGCGGGGCCGGTCTCCCCGGACTCAGCACGGCGCCGGAGGCTCGGAGCTCCGGGTTAGGGGGCGCGGGGCACCCCAGCCTCCCTCCTGGGCGCCCAGCGCAGTGCGCCCCGGCGAGCACCTGCCCAGGCAGGACGGAGGCTCGTCTCACCCCGCTGGAGCGATGAAGAGCTGGACTGTGCGGGGCGGGCTCGGGCCAGCAGGCGGCCGCGCCGTTAACGGGAGCTGGAAGCCGTTGGTCAAACCGGGAAAGTAGCGTCCGAGTCCAGCTGGACGGGGAGCTGCCCGGGCAGCCGGATGCGGGTGCTGTGCTGCCACAGTGCACCTGCTCTTCCCTCGGCCGTGCCCGGCTGCTGGTCACCTGCGCTCGGAGGACTCCTGTGCCGTGGACTTGGCGGGCAGCTGGGGGGCAGCCTGTGGCCACAGGACCTGGACGCAGGTGTGTCGGGGATAGAATTGCCCCTAAGGCCCTTCTGCGTCTCGTACCACGTGGTGGGCAGCGGCTGGGGCCGGGTGCGCCAGGGGGTGGCACGGGGGCCGTGAGACGGCTCTCGGCGGGGCTGTGTGAGCTTGACCACACGGAGAGCGGCTCCTCCAAGACGCATTTCCACCAGGAGGTGTGGCGACGCGCCACCAGTTAGGGGCAGGCGTGGGCGCCAGGCCGGCGGCGCCGCACCGCGCAGGCTGTGAAGGAGCATCTGCCAGCCTGCCTGGCCCGGGCGTGGCCGCAGCCTGTGGGGCCTTGGTGCCAGGGCTCTGCTCCAGCGCTCTGGGCCCCCGACCCAGGACGCCGTCACCCACGGAGGGCCCAGGCCCTGCTGCCAGCGGCAGCCTGCGGCCGACGGGGCCTCATCGCAAACAGGGTCCTGGAGGTCGGGGACAGCGGGGCACCAGCACCCACACTGCAGGGAGTCCTGGCACCCCCCGTGGGGCATGGGACAGGCCCTGATTTTGCCTGCTGGGGCCTGATTCTTCGCGTTGGGAGCTTTGTCTGCTTGGACTGGGCAGGTGGTCAGTGCCAGGAACTAGGGTGTGCCTCGGCTCCCAGGCCCTGCCAGGGCCCCAGAGCCCATCCCACGCCCCCCAAAAAAGCCTCACCGTGCTGGAGAGGGCGTGATGGTGAGGCTGCGTGCGTGGCACCGCTGGCCCAGCCTGCCCGCGGTCACTGCAGTGACGCCCCGCACAGGCCTTCTCCGTGGTTTGGGTCTGAAGCGTCGGTGCCAGGGCTGCTCGTCCCTCCCTGTGCAGACGCTCCGTCCCAGGCCGCTCCCCGGGTCTGTCCCCCCACGCAGGTGCCGTCACAGCCAGGCCTCGGTCGGGGTGCCGAGCCCTGGGTGCGGCCAGTGGTCCCAGCACTGCTCACCCTTCCCGGGAGTGTGACCACGCGGACGCTGGGGGCAGGGCCGGGGGCCCCACCTGCAAAACAGATTCTTTCAGATCCTGTGGCTTTGTGAGGGCTGAATTCCGTTCACCCAGCGAATGGCAGGTTCCAGCATCTCCGGCGGTTGGGACGGGGCGTCTGAGGCCGCTGTGCCGCTGTGCCCTGTCGTGTGAAATGTTAGTGCCTTTCTCAGAGCAGTACCGGCTGGCAGAGACTGAGTGGCCCTGGAGATGTGCGGCGCCTGTCCCCGGGGCCGGGCGCTCTCCGGGACACGGTGTCCAGCCTAGGCGCCGAGCTGGAGAGGGGTGACCAAGGGTGGACTTGCGGGTCGCCTGGGGCAGCCGGGCGGGGGCTTCTGCGGGGTGAGCCGCGCACGCCAGCAGCTCCTCTGCGCGGGCACACACGCCATCGGCAAAGCCGTGCTGTTCCCTCTTGCTGCCCGGCGGCCCCGTCCACCCAGGGCCCCGTGCCCTGCGCTGCGCGGGCTGGTGCGGCCCCGGCTGGCAGGCTCCTTCCGCATCCGCTGTCTCTGGCCCGCCTGCTGTGCAGGCGAGGCGTGGGATCGGTGAGGATGCGCGCGTGGCGTGGGCGCCCGCGTGGTGGTGCGTGGCGTGGGCGCCCGCGTGGTGGTGCGTGGCGTGGGTGCCCGCGTGGTGGTGCGTGGCGTGGGTGCCCGCGTGGTGGTGCGTGGCGTGGGTGCCCGCGTGGTGGTGCGTGGCGTGGGCGCCCGCGTGGTGGTGCGTGGCGTGGGTGCCCGCGTGGTGGTGCGTGGCGTGGGTGCCCGCGTGGTGGTGCGTGGCGTGGGCGCCCGCGTGGTGGTGCGTGGCGTGGGCGCCCGCGTGGGCGCGTGTGTCCCAGGCTCACATAGCCCGACGGTGTCTTGGCCGTGCTGGGGGTCCAGCTCTGCACGGCGCAGGGTGGCCAGCCCAGCTCCTGGGCGTCGCTCGGGAGGCGCCACGGCCGCTGCAGTGTCCTCTGCGCGGTGTCCAGGCCCACGGTGCAGCCGGCTCCCGGAGCCTCGCTGTGGGGAGCTGCGCTCGGCGTTCCTCTCCGCGTGCGAACCCCGCACCCGGGAAGGGGCCCTGCGCCCAGAGTGTCTTCAGGGGTCGGGGGGCTCGCAGGCCCCATCCTGGGTGGTCTGGGTGCCGGCTCCCGGGGTGTTGGGGTGCCCCCACGCCGCCCTCTGTGCCCCCAGGCCCGCGGGCCCGGGTCCTGTAGCCGCGGCCGCCCACGCGCTGTCAGCAGCCGCCCCTGCTCTGTCTCCGCCTGTCTGAGGTGCCATCTAGTAGTTTCTGTCTAACCTGTGTCTCGTAGCTCAGCATCCCCCCCCACCCGTCCCATCCATGTGGCCCTAAGCGCGAACCACCACCCCGTGTCCTTCTGTGTCTCCCTTCCAAGAACTGGGTTTCTCTGGAGGAGAACGCGGGCTCCCGCCCCGGCCCGCACAGCGGCGCCCTGTGCTCGAGCTCGGATTGGCCTCGCGGCCCTGACAGCGAGGCGGCAGCGCTCTGGGCCCCCGCTAGTGCAGCCCCGACTGGCACGCGCAGCCCCCTGAAGTCCGCCCGGGCCGCCCCGGAGCGGAGGCTGTGGGCTCGAGCCTGCGAGCCCGCGGTCGTCGGGACGGCCTGTGAGGCCGGTTCCGTCCCGTGAGCCCGCGGCTGCTGGAGCCCGACCCAAAGCCCCTCAGCCGTCTCCAGGCCCCCGGGGCGTGTCCCACGAGCGAAGCCACGTCTGCCCCTCACGCCCGCCTCCCCGTGACAAGGTGCTCTGTGCGGCAGGTGGCAGATTCAAGAAGGAGATCGTCGTTGACGGACAGAGCTACCTGCTGCTGATCCGCGATGAGGGGGGCCCCCCCGAGGCCCAGGTGAGCATCAAAGCACCGCCCAGCTCTCGCTGGCCTTCTTCCCCCACGAGGTTCTGCTCCCCCAGTGGTTCTGGAAATGGTCCAGGGCTGTCCAGCAAAGGTGCTCCAGAGGCCCTGAGCTTGTGCTCCAGGGGCCAGGGTGGCTTTTCCCCCGTGGACACCAACTCTGCTGTCACCAGAACCTCGAGGCCACGCCCGCCTCGGGCAGGTCCCCCCGCCCCGCTCCCAGGCGAGGGAAGCCGATTTGCATTGGCGCTTCCAGTACACTTCTCCCGTCAGTGGCTGCTCTCTGCTGTGCGGAGTATGGCCGCCCCGGGGTTCAGCCGCACTGACCTGACCTTGAGTCCCGAGGCTCTGGCCCGCGGCCCCACCTGGGCCCCGTCGGTCCCTGGTCAGGAACCCAGGCACTGGGGGCGCCCGCTGGTGGCCGCTGTTCCGTGGCCTTGAGGTCAGATGTCTCCTGGGTGTGGTTTCCCTCGTTGCATGTGAGGCCCAGAGCAGCCAGGTGCGTGGGGGGCGGCCAGAGCCTGTGGGCACATCTGGGAGACCGGGCTCTATGGAAGACGCCGGGGCTCCCCATGCCCGCTCCCCAAGCCGTGCCCGTCAGCCACAGCAGTGTTTAAAGCAAAATGTTCCCCACTAGCCAGGATCAGTGCCCCTGTGGGGTGGGCCTGGCCTCGGGGAGCCCATTCTGCTTCTTAGCCCAAGGGGACAGCACTTGCTGTAAGAAGGAAACTCCCAGAAGGTGTGTCCGGTGTGAGAAGTGGGCCCCAGGCTCTGTGCTCACTTTCCGTGAACAACCTTTGTAATTAAGCAGGGCAGGCCGGCGCTGGAGGGCCGCCGGGAGGGCCGGCGGCCTCTCCGGATGCCCCGGGGGACGCCGCCTCGGCCCTGAGGACAGGGTGCCGCCACCGCTGCCGGCCTCGCCGCCTGCTCACGCCGCTCTTGTCCACTGTCCGCAGTTTGCCATGTGGGTGGACGCTGTCATATTCGTCTTCAGCTTGGAGGATGAGATCAGCTTCCAGACCGTGTACCACTACTACAGCCGGATGGCCAGCTGCCGCAACACCAGCGAGGTCCCGCTCGTCCTGGTGGGCACCCAGGGTGAGTGCCTCGGGCGCCCGGGCCCCGGGCCCCGGGCAGCAGCGGACGCCGGGCTGCGTTCACGGGGAGGAAGTTAGAGCGGCGTAGAGAACCAGTCTCCCTCCGACCGCGCGGGTCAGGCGAGAATCTGCAGCTGCGGCCCGCCCGGGGCACCGCCTGGCAGCCTCGGCAGTGTGCACATGGCACAGCACAGGCCACACACCGCACACACACGCATGCACACGCGTCACGCAGACCACACACGTGTGCACACATATGCCACACAGACCACACGCCACATGTGTGCGCAGACCACACACCTCGCAAACATGCACACCCACACAGAAACACGCCACACACATGCACAGGCGCCACATTCATACACACCAGGCACACACCACCACACAAGCACACGCCACACACCCCACAGGCGCACACCACACACCCGCACCACCACTTACCGCGCGCGCACGCCCCAGTGCCCTGGGTAGGACACCTGATTCCTGTGGGGTCACCATAGCCTCATCTGGTCACGAGACAGGCCACAAGCAGCCTCCGTTTAACCTCAAGGCCCTAAAGTGGTGCTGCTTTCCGGAGAGCGCTGGCTGGGGTCTGCCCGCCCCGCCTCACGACCTCTGCCGCCTCTCTCGCGAGGCCCCTGCGCGTGGACTGGCCAGCGAAGCCACGTAGTGCCGGGCGTCACCCGGCGGCCGTGGGCCCTGCTGCGGGCTTCCTGAAGAGGCGCGTCCGTGGCTCAGGCGTGGACGCCACACCCATCCCCCAGGGATTTGGGTCACCACAGACGACCCCGTCGGGGGGGAGCAGAATTGCCCTCCCTTCTCGTCTTTGGGTTCCTGGCTGTTCTGATGCCCTTGGGAGGGCACATCTGCACACGCCCTCCTGCCCTCCCCCTCGGAGACCCGGGTGAGACCTCCGTGCAGGGTGCCCGGGGCGGAGGGGCCGGCCCCTCGTGGTGCAGGCTGGCAGGAGCCGCGGCCAGGCTGGGGTGAAGGGAAGCTGGGCCTCAGCCAGCTCCTGCCAGAGGTCGGAACCTGCACACTTCTCACCAGTCCTCAGCAGGCTCAAAGGGCGCCAGGGGCTCAGCCCAGCCACCCTCCCCGGAGGAGACAGCCCAGACCCCGCCCAGAGGCCCAACGGTTCATTGTGTGGGTGCGCCCTCTAGCGGCCAGCGGCGGAAACCTGGGCTCTTGGTCCTCGGGAACAGAAGTGGCCCATCTGGAAAATTCTGAGCGTGACATGTCTCACTGTGCGTAACTTCCAGAGCAGATGTGGCCTGAGGTGCTTTGATGTAGAAGCAAGTAGTTGTCCACGAGAGCCATGTCCAGCAGGCTGGTCCCGGCCCGGCTCTCCTGAGCATAGGCGTGTGTGTGTCGGCGTGTCTCTGTCTCTGTGTGTGTCTGCGTGTCTGCACATGTGTGCGTCCTCTGGAGGGCGAGGGCTCGGCAGGGTGGACGAGACCTTTCCCCAAGGTGGCTGCACTGCTGCTGCTCTGCAGACTGACGTGACTTGAGGGAGACGCTCGTAGAGGAGGGCACAGTGTTGGGGGGCCCCGCAGCTCTGGGGACCGCAGGTGTGTGGGGCGGCGCTGCCCCTTGGCAGGATGATGCGGCACCCCAGGCCGCCCGTGGAGGAGGGGTGCGGAGCTGTGCGGGGGCTGCCGCTGGCCTGCACGGCCACGTGGTGCCGGAGCAGCGGCCGTGAGCGGCTCCTCACGCCGCAGCCCCTCCTGGAGGACGCCCACGCCTTTAGCCTCGTGGGCGCGGCAAGGCCCGGGCAGACGGGGCCCACGCGGGCGGGGCTCCCTAAGTAGGGCGCTCAGGGAGGCCCAGGGTCCGGCCCTCGGTCAGTAGGACTGCGCTTCAGGCCTGGTCCGTGGCGCGGACGGGCGAAACGGGACAGCGGAGCCGGCGATGAAGCAGCTTTCCCTCACAACGCCGCTCCGAGAATGACGCTTGGAAGCAGAGCCCGGGGGCGTTTCCTGCGAAGCCAGCGTTTCGGTGGCCGTGGCCCTGTGGTGCTTTGGCCACCGAGAAGGCGCGGCCGTGGTCTGTGGAGGCGCTGCTGAGTGCTTGGGGGTTGAGGGCCGCCCTGCTCAGGCGCGCCCCCGAGAGCCCGAGGCCCCTCACCCCACTGTGGCGGCCGGGCAGCGGGTTCTCTGCCCCCACGGCGCGCTCCCCCAGCATGGGTGCCCCACAGAGAGCCGCAGACCCGTCCGCTCGGAGATCGGGGCCAGTGCCCCCACACCCGTCTGTGCTGAGGTTCTGTGGGGACCCCCCTTCCTCCGCCACCTGCCCCGGGCCTGGTTCTGTTACGGGACAGCGACTCCCACACGCCTGCCCCCGGCCTGCCCCCCGGCCCCCGGTCTAGAGCCCCGTCCCCGGGTGGAGCCGCCTTGCAGGTGAGGCTCCCGAGTCGCTCCTGAGCGCCGCCTCTGTCCTGTCGCCCCGCTCGCTGCTGGTGTTTTCTCTGCCCCCACCCCCACCCCATCAACCTCGGGGCTCCCCGGAGCACTGGCTGATTCTTACGTTTTCTTCGCCGGTCTCCCCGGGCCTAGAACACGGCCGGGCACGGGGCGCTGGCGGCGGTTACCTTTGGGTGGACGGTGTTTGCAAAGCCCCGGGTCCGTAGAAGTCCTTTCACCGCGGAGCCAGGGGCCAGCGAGAGCCGCAGGGCCGACGCGGGCCGCTGTCCGCTGACGGTCGCCGCTGCTGTCTGTTCCAGACGCCATCAGCTCCAGCAACCCGCGGGTCATCGACGACGCCCGGGCGCGCAAGCTGTCCGGGGACCTGAAGCGCTGCACCTACTACGAGACCTGCGCCACCTACGGGCTCAACGTGGAGCGCGTCTTCCAGGACGGTGAGTGTGGCCACTGCTGGCCCGTGGCCGGGCGGGGGCTGGGCGTGGGGAGGG